CTCTGAAAATCCCCCCCCCCCCCCGCACCAACTCGCCTGAAAGAAGACATGACATAGATAGAGCAAAAATAAAACACTTTATTAAAAAAAAGAGTGGTGTGGTGCGTTTTTTTTAACAAAAGAAGAAAAAAGATAATTAAAAAATAATTTAAATAGTAAGTAATATGTTATTAAATTAACAAAGATTTAAAATAAATAAGGATAACAGTATTATACAAAAGGGGGCTCTTCCTCCCTAGCACCTTTGCAATATAAAATACATACAAAATATACAAAAATAAAAAATAACTGCAAATCTGCACAATATAGGTCTTTTACTTTGTTCATTTTTATTTTTACTGGTTGCTGACCCCAGCAAGTTCTGGCCAGAACAGTTTTCTGCAGGGCAGGGGAAAGAGGAAGAGAAGTGGGGGTTGGAGCAGAGTCAGAAAAATGGACTTCCCCCCCCACCTCCCCCCACACATCTCCACAAAGTTGGTGGGACATATTACCTAAATGTCACCCAGGATGCTGCATATCTTGGGTGTGAGGTCTGGCAGGCAGTGTCCTGCCCCTGGAGTTTTGGTCATAGTTCTGAAATGGAATGTGATGAAGTTCAGAAGGTTTGCAATAGTGAAGGTAGTCATGTAACTACTCACTCCAAGGTTTCAAACTACTTGCAAGAAACTTACCATTACTGCTGCAGCTGTCATCTGGAGCTATGCCCACTGCAGTGGCAGCACACAGCAGGAGGCATGGGGGTGCAGGTGGAGGTACATGGGGCAGGAGGACATATGCTATAGGTGGCAGGGGTGGAAGAATTAAGAGGTGGTAGTAAATTAAGGGAATATTGGCTTTCTCCCCCATTTCTTCTTGTTAAAATAAAAATAATAATTTGCAGACTTGACCCAAACCCAACTACTCCACTGCATGCTGTGATGGAGGGGTGAGGAGTGAGTGAGGGTAAAAAAAAACCAACAAAACAAAAAAGAACATACAGCAGCACCTACTGGCTAAAGGCCGGAACAGAGTGCCACCTCATGGTGAAGGGGATTAATAAGAAGTCTTTGGAGTCTCTGGCTGTTTTCATAGCTGGGGCAGGAGCACAGCAAAAATAACACATCTCCGAGTAGTGTTAGTTAAAGGTGCTAAATGTATTTTTAGAGCAACATGTCACAGGGTAGAGTCCCTAAGGATGACCATGGTCTCCTAAGAACCCTCAACCGTGCCAATTTGGCCTGATGAGCTCCCTCTTTTCTGGCCTGCCACATCTTGATGTAAATGTAATGTAGGGAGGCTGCCTTCATGCCCAGTCGAACATGGTCCTGATAGACTTCCCTGGACCCCATGGGTCCCCAGCCTTATGGGCTATATGCGTAGCTCCAACTGCCCGTTTACCATGCCCCAAGCTTCACAGATGGCATTGATGTTTTCCTGTCTAGGTCTTGCTGTGATTTGGCCCCCTTGTCCACTCTGGGCCCCCTGCAGCCCTATCTCTGCACCTCACTGGCACCTGGGCCCCCTGCAGCCCTGCCTCTGCGCCCCTCTGGCACTGAGGTCTATGTGCCCCCAAAATGCCATACCTTTTCTGGCACTGGGGTCTGTGCACCCAAAATGCTGTGCCCTCTCTGGCGCTGGGGTCCCCACACTGCAGTGGGCCCCCAGTGAGGCCTCCTCCTTCTCTAAATAGCCTTACGCAAACCACTAGTGTTGTAAAACTACAACCAAACATAAGCCCCTGGGCTATAATGTAACGCAAGCTGCATAAGGTGTGCTCTGTCCCTTTACATTACAAGAAGCAGAACTTAGTCAAGCCTCTTCCCTTCACTTACTCTAGGAGGGCTCCTTCCCCCTTGGTCACCAGCAGAGAACTGCCTCCTAGTCCCTGTCCTGGGGTTTATATGGGCCCAGGGCCCTGCCCAGCTGACCAGGTGCAGGCTAATTTCCTCATTAGCTAGCTCTCATGGCAGCCTGCACCTGGGCTTTTGTCTGGCTCTTTGGGCTCTCCCCAGGCAGTTTCTGTTCTTCTAGGAGAAGGCACCTAAGTGCCCTGTGACAGCGGGAAATCCCGGGTCTTGCAAACACAAATGCAGTGTGTCAGCATTAGCAGGAAATATCGTTTTATCTACATCTTCCCTTAGGTACCATCAGAGCTATTCAGTTCATAAGAAGATAAAATCTCTGTGTAAAATATATGTTTGCTGAGCATTCTGCCTAACCATCTATAGATATGCTGATCTGCCATTACTGCATTGTCTGAGAAATAGTTTTCATATCAAAGTAATGTTTCAGACTAAATGTATACTGCCTTTGTAAGAGTTAAATAATAGTCATATGTGTTTTTTCTCTTTTTTTTTTGTCACAGGAGGTGGATGTGGATGACAGATTTGGAGATTTAGATCTCAGAAATGATTCAGATATTCCTGAAGTTCCCCCATCAACAGACAGCACTCCAGAAATACTCAAAAGAGCTCTTTCTGGCGTATCTGCAAGGTATAGTAAAGTGAGATTCCTAACGCATTTGGGACAAGAATGTTGAGAGTTGCTGACTAAATGTAATTATATTGCAGAATTAATTTCCTATGTGATAACCTTTCCACATATAACCTTTATTTTGGATCTATTATTATGGCTCTTTAGCTACATTTTTGCTGGAGTTACAGTTTTTATGAAATTAACATTTTCAGTATGCCACCCAAAGATTGCCTGGCTTCATCCATTATAAAGAAATAATTATTAAATAACTTTAACTTAACTTAAATGCTGAAGCATCACAGAGAGACAGGAGCAAGACACCAGAAACTGTGACTTAAGAAGATTAATTTTTTTTGTCTTCATGTAATATGCTGGCTTTCTGGTCACCTTTAGTTAATTGGAGTTATTTTGCACATTGCTAAAGAAGGAGGAATACAAACTTTTTTTACAGGTTAGCTTTACATTCACTTTTCCATCAACCTTTGTGCCTTTTATTGGGAGATAGTAACAAAATAATTAAGTGTAGATGGGACCTAGCAAGCAATACCCATTTTATTTTATTTTTTTCCCATAGCTGGCAGGAGCCAAAGGGCATGCCTTTACTGCATCTCTAGTGTGTCTAGGCAGTGATGTTCCCAAGCATGTCCCATTCTTCTTTCACTTGCATTTGTCAGAGCCAAGAATACAATAGTGAAACTGCCCTGGGGTGTCACTGCATGCTGAAAACAGAAGTTTTGAAAGTGGCTGTAGGGATCTACACCCACCATGGCTTCTGGGTTGTCAGCAGGAGGTTGGGTATGCTTGGAAGTGTACTGGAACAGGCGAGGAACACAGTGTAGACATATCAGTTGAGTCATCATCTTCAGCAGTCCCTCACAGTTGAGGATGATTGTCATCCATTATTGTCTTATCTGTGTGTCCAAAGATGGCTGATGAGGCCTATCTGGGATCAAAAGACTCTACTGTGGCTCGGATGTGTGTTTTTTGTGTGGGGTGGGTAGCGCTGGATTCTTGATTTGTTCCATGATGCTTTGTTTCTGCTGCTCCTGCTTTTCCATCTCCTGTAGTTGTTGTGAGGTTTCAAAGTACTGAGATCCCTACAGCAGACTTTCCCTGCATTTGGGACAGTCCTGGGGAATAGTCTCCCACAAGTTGACATCAGTGTTGCATTTTTTTAAGCTGGCCTTGAGGAGTTCCCTGAAGTGCTTACTCTGTTATCCTCTTGAGCATACACATTGCTGAGATGGGAGAATAAAACTTGCTTTGGATGTCTGGAGTTGGACATCTGGATGACATGGCTGGCCCAATGAAGTTGATGTTGGATAATCATCGCCTCAATACTCGTGGGGTTTGCTTGCAGGAGAATGCTAATGTTGGTACATCTGTATTCCCACTGGATTTGGAGGATCTTCCACACACAGCGTTGATGGTACTTCAACAACTTCAGATGTCTCCTGTACATTGTACATGCCTTAGCTCCATACAGTGAGGTGGGAATCATGACTGCTTGATAAACCACAAGCTTGGTTTTGGATCTGATGTCACGATCTTCAAACACCCATTTCTTCAGGCACCCAGAGGCTGCACTTGCACATGTGAGGTGATGTTGGATTTCTTTGCCAATTTCTTTTGCAAGAGATGGGTCTGAGATATGGGAAATAATGTTCTTCAGCGTCTCACCATGGATCTGGATTACTGGAGCTGGGGACTGTTCATTAAGAGCTTGTTGGTGGAGGACCTAAGTCTTCTGAATGTTAAGTGTCAGTCCAATTTTCTGGTATGCCTTGATAGAGGCATCAGCAATTTCCTGAAGGTTTGCTTCTGAGTGAGCACACACTACAGCATCATCAGTGTACTGGAGCTTAGTGATCAAGGTCAGGGAAGTCTTGGTATTGTCTTGGAGTTGGCTGAGATGAAACAGCTTACCATCTATTCAGTACTTTAGCTCCACTCTGGAAGCTGTTAGTGCTCAGGTCATGGCAAGGAATACAGTATAACCTCATAAATCTGGATATCAAAAATCCAGAATTCTCAAAAATCCAGCACTTTTAAGCTTCCCTCTCTGTTCCCCTGGACGCGGGAGGGGGAAGATTGCACATGGCGGCTGTCACTGCCATCCATCACGCTGTGTCACCGCTCCGCATGTGAACACTGCTCCAAGATCGGCCATCGCTCCCCCCGCCCCCTGGACGCAGAAGGGAAAGCTTGCATGCAGCAGTTACCGCTGCCTCCACCATCCCATTCTGTGTGCAGCTGCTGCTCCAGGACCGACTGCCACTCCCCCCTACCTCCCCCGGATGTGGACAGGGAAGCTTGCATGTGGAGGCTGCTGCCACCATCCACCACTCCACTATGTGTGCGGCCACCGCTTCAGGACCGGCAGCCACTCCGGTTTCAAAAAACTGGAAATTTCAGATTTCCAGCACATGCTTGGTCCTAAGCATTCTGGATTTAGAAGTGTTGGAGGGATGACACAGCTTTGCTTAGCTCCTGTTTTAACCTCAGTCAGGTTAGCAATCAGGTCAAATGCAGAAATGTTTTATATGCACATGAAGCTAGCTGTAGACACAGTTCTTTCAAGCATAAAGCACTTTGTGTACTTGAGTCATATCCTTTCAGTGCATTCTGCTGTTGTAATTAACTGTGTGCTGTAGTCCAACTAAGGCATATCCAGAAGTGTCATAAGCTGATAACTGAAATGTGACAGGAGGACAATGTTATTCACTACATAAATATTCTAGAAGTAACTTACCACATCTAGCAACTCATTTTCTCAACAGTTAGCAACACAAGTGTTAGTAAATCAGTTAAGTATAAACAGGCCTTCACTTGGCTTCATGAGTCCTTGCACACATACCCTCACCAGATTTAATACCTTCTAATTCAGGGGTTGGCAACCTCTCACCACTGTGGGCCACTGCCTGTGGCCCAGCCCCGACCATGACCTACCCAGCAATCAGCAGATGCCACAAAAGGAATCTAGATAGAAAAAGGCAGGCATTAGCATGTTGGGGATACCTCCTTTGCTGCTTGGGCTGGAGTGTGCTGCTGATTCTTTGAACTGCTGTGGACCAGATCCAGTCTCTTCACAGTTTGCATCTGGCCTGCAGGCTGTATGTTGCCTACCACTGCTCTAATTAGTTTAGTGATGCTTTAGTTTTTAGTAGCTTTTTGTTTAGTATGTTATCTGCTCACATCTTGATGCCTGTCCCGACAGTTAAACATGAATACAAACTTGTAACACTTTTAGTGTCATTCTGCTACTATCACAGAATGAGGACCAATAGTGCATGATCATTTTCAGATTCAGCTTACTAGGGTAAACATCTTGAGGGACTTTGGGTCTCTAAACAGACTTGTCCTAAATACTATTCAGAATCTGGTACCTCAGGCATTAAAATCTGCTTTAGGTTCTTAAATCATTTTTAGAGGGCATGGCTGTCAGTGCTTTGTGTGCAAAATACCGCTTTGTGGAAGGGTGGAGTCAAGGGTACTTGTTAGGATCATATTCCCTCTGATCATCTAATATGGAGGGAGGGCCTCTTTTTTATCTTGCAACAGAATCATTACCTGAACTGGAATTTTATTTAATTTTTTAAGAGCATCTAGATGAAGCACTACATAATCCCTTTCCCCCTCCTTAAATATTATCCCTATTTTTATGGTGATCCAAAGAATCTTGCAGTTTCTCTTACATCTGGTAAAAGTTAAACGTTGAAGATGTGTCATAATGGCAGATGGTTGGTTAGACTCCTTGAGGCTTGGCCTGTCTCGAATAAAGTTGGCTTTCCAGATGTGTCAAATGTGCTTCTTATCTATTTTTGTTCTAACTTCTGAGAGATGTAATGTTCTCTTTTTTTAAGAAAGCGAGGCTTTTGTTTATGGTAAAGACTTACAGTGTTATGATGAGTACAACATTGCGAATTAAAGCCTATCGCAGTGCAGTGGATTTTGTCTTTGTTGCCCTACCTTCGACAGCTTCATTTAAATGGCTTTAGTGACCGCTAATGTATCATTAAATAAAATCCTTCAAAAGTAAATTATGTGTCTAACAAACTTAAATTCAGTGTCAATTTTGAAGTTAATTAAGATGATGGATTTCTTTAATCAGATGTGTCTAGAAATGATTTTACCAGTGCAACAAGAAATGTCTGAGGGAGGGAAATCTTTTTTGTTTGCTCTTTCATTTGGCGGTGGTCTAACCATGGTTAGCTTTACAGTTTTCTTTTTGCAGTCAGTGTACCCTCTTGTTAATGTCTGAAAATCCACCGAAATGTGGAAAGCAAAATGTATTGAAAAGCAGTATTATACAACCAGAAACATTTTCAAGGGACTTTGGGGGCAAGTGTAGTACCAGAAAATAATTTATCTTTTCTTTCCTTAAAAAAAAAAACCCTAAATTTTTTGGTGACATTGTTTAAATAAAATATAAGATTTTTGGTTACACCTAAAAGAGGTACCAGATTATCATTAATTAATTTCAAAGGTTGTATTCCATTTGCTAAACACATGTATTGAAAGCAACCTAGATTTTTACTTAGCCATTTGTAATCCTTTAAAACAGGGCTTGTCAACCAGGGGTTCCTGTACCCCTGGGGGTACTTGAGAAGGCCCCAGGGGGTACACGGCAATGGTACAGAGAAGCAGGGGTACTTAGGAAGCATGCCACCATGTACCACCGCATGGTGGTGACAGGCAACAGCAGCACACTTCCCCTTCTACTGCTGCTGCCTGCCACCACCCAAGTACCTCTCCCGGCTCATTGCCAAGGAACACCCTCCCCCCCACACTCATTAACTGGCTGCTGGGGGTCCAGGGGATACCTCCTCCAGGGGCTATAATCCAGGAGAGGTACCCACCAGAAGCGGTACACTCCTTTAAAAAGGTTGAAAAGCCCTGCTTTAAAAAATATTACTGTGTTTATTTACATAGTGCAGACATCTCTTTCCTGAAAATCAGCTATCCGTTACGGGGGTACATGGCTTAAGTGACAAAACTGATTTCCACGTTGGAATGGCAGCAGGCTGAACCCTGTGTCCCATGGGTAATGTCCTATTACCAGTGTCACTCCTCTTCTCCGTCCTACAGCTACAGGTTTAACCCTTTCTCAGCCACTTCTGAATTAGCAGTAGTTGTGCTGACTGGGCAACCAGGAGGAGAGTGATGCTGACAATGGGACCCCATCCCTGCTGTATACGGGCACAAGGTTCAGCCTTGCCTGAGGGGTTGCTGTGCAGGGAAGACTCTGGAAAACTCTTTTTTTTCTTCATTTTGCCTTCTCAAAACAAGGTATGTTGTATTTGGGGGGCAGGGTATGCAAGTAATTGTGGTGTATTTGTGGACATGCTTACATGCTACAGCACTCCCCTTGCTTCACAGGTTAGATTGTAGCTAGCTGCTGCAATGGAATAGAAAACAGGGACAAGTAGCCTACTGCACCTTCTCTTACATCTCATATATCAGGACTGATGACCTTTGTGGTTTCAGTATTAACATGAGCACAGATCTCTTTCAAATTAGTCTATTTACCTGAATCCAAGACTACTTTAAATTGCAAAGACCCTCTCTAGTAATTAGATTCTATGCATGGAACATTTATAAATTTGTTATAGGTCATGTATAGGATGTAATTATTGGCAAGTCCTCTTAAATTCACCTCCCCACCCCCACCGTTACAACAGGAAAAGCAGTGGTCAGGGTGATGGCAAGCAGTGGTAGGGGAAGTTAAGTAACCTAACCCCTGCCCCTTGTCCTCCTCCCCCATTTGTTCCTCCTTCAGCAGTATAATTTCTCTGGTTGAACACTAGATTAATCTGTCTTTGAGTAGGTACTTAATTGTACAGGTTTTTTTAAATTGTCCTGATATATTTTTTTTGTAGATGGAAAAACTGGTGGATTCGTGGAATCTTAACTCTACTTATGATTTTGTTGTTTTTCCTCATCATATACCTGGGATCTTTCATGCTGATGCTTCTTGTAAGTTTGTTGAATTTTTTTTTCCTATATCATATTTCATGCATTATGATTAATGAACAGAGAGAATAAATCTGTCTGAAAACATATTATATAGAACTTTCAGATTGATGAGCAATTTGTCTTATGTTTAAATCTTAATATTTGTGAAAGGTGATAAATTGGTATTTGTGGATGAGCTTTGGGGACTGCTGGACTTTTGTTGCTTTCAGTTACTGTAAATATTAAGACTCAATTTAGATTGAATTTAAATTAAATGAATAAAAAGCTGTAAAAATGGGAAATTGATATTACAGTAAATTTCCCTTTCTTAAAATGCTAAGCTAGTTTCAGCCTTCCCCTTGCATATTTCCTATCTCTTCACATGGCCTTTTACTGTGTGTCATATTGTCTTCTTTTTTTGAAGGGTTATCATACAATCTGAGGAGAGATTCAAGGCAGAGCCAAGAAACTTACTTGTTAACTTCCACAATTTGCAGTTTTAAGGCTAGGGAAAGTAGGCAGTTTCTTTTTGTTAGGTTTGGCTGGAAAGTTAATGATACCAATGGGAGAAAGGGCCCTAAGTGTCAAGTCCTACTCCTCACAGTTAGGACCCTGCAACAGGCTCCATTAGTGTTGGTCTCAGCAATTGAGCAGGATCCCCTTGAAGTTATGACTATCTACGGAGATAGTCTCTGCACTAGTAGGTCCTTCGACAAGATCATTATCACTGGGCACGTACTACACGTGCTATTAGCACGCAGCAATAAACTGGCACATATTGTGCCGGAGTTTATTGCTCCCAAGTGTGCCATTTGTACATGCACCTAGGACCGCAGCACATTATGCTGGGTCAGAGCAGTCCCAGCTGGCAGGGGACCTGGGGGATCAGCCTGCCAGCTCGAAGCTGATCTGATCTTGCTCAATGTGCTGCAGAGGGGCTGACTGTGGCACAAGGGTGCTTCAGTGTGGGGCCAGTGCCCCAGCCAGCCGCATCAATGTCTACACATATGCTGTGGAGTAAAAAATTCCGCTGCAGGATAGTACTTGTATTTACAAGTACTACCCTGCTGCAGTGTTAGTTAGTTTCCTGCAGCCTAATAGGGCTGGATGTGTAGACATGAGATATTTACTGTAGAGCTAATTAGTCATGTAGCTGTGCCCAACTGTTCCTTAAATATATTCTATCTATGGAATACAATGGGGGATGGGGTGGGGCACAGACAATGTGTGGGAGGGCGCAGTTGGGGGCTGCAGCCCTGCATTGCCAAGATTGAGGTGGCAGTGGTGGCTTAACAAAGGAGGGAGGCAGTGCTCTCTGTCCCTGCCCGCCGGGCTGGTGCTGCTGGGGGCTGGGGACACTGCCCACCAGAGGCAGCAGTGGTGGTGGCAGTGGCAGCGCCGGGCTTCTGCTGGTGGTGACTCCCCGTGGCGGTGGCACGTGCCTTTTGGTGGTGGCAGCAGCAGCACCAAGTCTGCCAGTCCAGCCACAGGCTGCAGCCCCATGCCCTGTGCCCCATGCCCCACAGAAATCTAGGGGGCCATGTACCCCCCCCCCCAGTTCCTCTGATGCATCACGAGTGGGCATGCTTGAACTACCCCTGTGCCATCGGCAGGTCCACTGATGATGCAGAACTTGTTCGGGTTCACCAGAGCTTGGGCCCTGATGATCCAGACTGGCCCTGTGCCATTGGACGCCCTTGATGGCACAGGAGCCATCTGGCCATGCCAGAGGTTGGTGCAGGGTCAATCTGGGCTATCCAGGACCAAGCTCTAGTGAGTCCAGACCAGCCCCGCTCCATCGGGGCAGGGGCCAAGCTCCAGAAATCCGCCCCTGACTCTCTCTCTCTCTCTCTCTCTCTCTCTCTCTCTCTC